AATGATACAACATCCAGTGATATTATCCGATGATTTATTGGTATTTTTTGTTGTTTTATAAAATCACAAAAACTCTTTGTGATGTTGTGAGTGAGTGGACTCGAGTGGGCAAACCGCCCACTCGAGATGAAAAAAAAACCCTAGGAATAATTTATTGGGCAATACAATGTTTGCCGGGTCAGCTAGTTTATTTATAAAATGCAACTGTAACAATTGTACAGCAAACATTTATTCTTTCTTTACAAATTGATCGATTAATCAATTCATCATCATCATCACACGGTTCAATTCGTCTTAAAACTAATCCACAAAAGCGATATCTTTATAGCCCAGTTTCCTCTCTAATCCAGGCGCGTAAATTGGGTACGCTCGCATATAGACCTGGATATCCGGCAAAGGCGCATCCATTTCCCCAAGAAACCACGCCAGTCAAGTACCCGTCCACTATAAGAGGACCTCCTGAGTCGCCTTGACATGCGTCTTTTCCTCCATCCACAAATCCAGCACACAGCATCCTTTCGGTTATTTGGTACGATCGTGTAGCTAACCATTCGCCTGCAAGTTCATGCAGGTGCAAAAAGCCCCTGAAGAAGCGCCACAGTTCCACTCACGGTAATACTCCTCACAGGAGTCGTTGCTGACAATGGGAACAAAGACCTCTTGTAACTCGTCCATTAGAGAGCCTCCGGAAAACGGGGTGCCCCAACCAGTAACACTGGCAGTGGCGCCTACAAACCCAGTTCTCACTTTGGGGCAAATTAAGCCTCAAACAATCTCACCTGGCAGTGGCGCCCATCCTTCTGGAGGCAGCTGGGCGTAGCCGATGGCATCAGCAACTTCGCTCTGAAGCTGGGCGAGCTTCATTAACCCAATATCGTAGTCCAGGGTGGAACTATTGTACAATGGGTGGCGAATGGCCACAGAGGATGAAACCAGGACTCCTCCTTGAGCCCACAGCTCGCTTCCCAATCGGAATTGGTACCGGTGCGTGCCACTGGAAATTTCCAAATTAACTAAACGTATTTTATGCCCAGGTGGGCACCTACGCGGAAATGCAATGGGCAGCCGTTAGGATCCACTCAGGGGAAATCAGCGATCCTCCACAGCTGTGCCGATGCCAATTTTGGAAAGACACCTGATGCGGATGGCTGGCAATTTCCACCGGCCAGCCGCCCACAATGCGGCCATCAAGCAAAGGAACCAGCGGTTTTGGTTCGAAAATTTCATCAGCGGCCACTGAAAAGAGTTCAAGATTGTTGAGGAAGAGTGTTAAAGTCTAGGACGAAGGTGAGTTGGATGGTTTAAGCATTGAAGTAGCAGAGTGTTTGGGGGTTCAAGATTAGCCATGTCGACCTAAAGACAATGAGGCGACTATTCATAGATGCTGAGTTATTTAACAAGAAACGTATTTTTAAACAATGAAGTCTTGTAGTCAAGAGGTAATTTGGTTCAGCTTCGTTTGAAGGGGCGGTCAGAGCATTTTATTTTGAGATTTTAATTAAGGAAAATAGATATGAAAACTCCAGAATCAAGCACTTACCAGTCAGACATAGCGATCCAGCGACCAGCCCCAACCAGAAAACTAGTTTCAACATTTTGCGACCTTTTAGGCGAAATTTTTGGGCCAAATGAGTGAGTTTGCAACAAAACTGGTAACGTTCATTTTGGCTCCATATCTGATCGATTATACCGGATTTAGTTGGGTTTAATTAGCTGATCGATTAATGGCTTCCTAAGGCGGTCGTCGTTAATTGTTATATTGATGTGTGACAATCGATTTTGTCTACCATCAATCAATAAAGAAAACAATAAAGCTAATAAATAAACCCAGAATGTTCAATAGTAAACTGAGTCTACTGATAAAAGCGATTTGGATCAGTTAGTGGTGGGTTTGTTCAAGAGATTTGGACGGAAGACGAATCTGCTCGAAAGTTTCACAATTGTTCAGTGCGCGATTTGGGGGGTAATATTGGGTTGGTTTGAAGCAAATGGTGGGTAAAAATCGCTCATAATTTTTCAATAAAACCGCAGCATTTCGTTCATCGACTCTACATGTCGGTTTCAGGATGTCGCGTCTGAAAGCAAGGGGAAAAAGAATCAGAAGAATAATTAATAGATGACATAAATGAAGAGGAAGCAAAAGGTTGTCTCAATGTTCAGCTTATTCTTTGGAAAAAAGCAGGCCCTTCAGGATATACCCAAGGGCGGATCGAGGGGAGAGGGGGTCATGACCCCCCCCCATTCAATTATTTATCCAACGATGCCAAAACGAATTCTTTGGCTCGAATGGTTCTTGAGAAACTTCTAAAAAAACAGCGTCATGTTCAAGTGGATTTTGCAACTCAAAGAAAACCACGCAAATCTAAAACTTCTTGAATTCAAGCATTTTTTGAGAAAACTTCCAACATTTCCCCATCCATGGTTTCCTTTCTGAAAAGGCCATTTATTTCTGTCTAGAATGATGTACAAATGAGCGTTCTTGCTCATTTTGCCTCCGAGAAATGAGCAAAAACGGGACGGA